ATACTGTGACAAAGTAAAACAGCTTTAAACATTTTGTCGATGTTGATTGTTCTGACTGAGTATTCATTTCATCACAGACGTGACTATTTAATAGTATACGTGATGTTCGGGTTTCGTTAAGATAATGTAAGTGGAAAAACAAAAGAAAAATCGTCGTTAATGCAAGTTTTTAAAAAAAACCTTCAACATTCAATAAGCACTGTAAGGATGCCTCTCGCTTTCAACGTCAACGTTCAGTGTTTTACATGTATCTGTGGTTTTGGTGCTTTTCAGTTAATATGGCGCGTCCAGATATGGTAAAGCGATGGTTGAGAGGGTTTTGGTGTAGAAGGCAGACAGCTTTAGGATGGATATCATTCCTAATAGTGCTGATGATCTGGGCAAATATGCATATTCTATCATGCGTTACAGAACACTCGGAACAAGCGCCGGATACCGAAAGTAAGTGACCTGTAATTACATGTTATACATGTAGAATCGTAGTTCCCGGGCGCCAAAGCTCTTTAATGGTAACACATGCGTGTGTAAAAAGTTACTTCCGTTTCAATTGTAACGTCACCATGCTCTATGCCAAATACAAGGCATTTGTCCTGACACTTTCCTTACGTTCTATCTTGTTTTATTATTTAAACATTATTTAGGAACCAATATAACAATAAAGGACTATCAGGTTCCTATATTCATATTCATTCACCTCAAAACCACACCATAATTGATAAATCTGTACATGTCATAAATGATCTTATTAAGACCTTTACCAAAGTTGACATTGACGTAAAATAAAATGCTACAAATAAATGTTCGTCCAATTTAGCAATACAAAGTCTGTGTTGTACTTAAGAACTGTTTTTGTCTAATATTATATATATTTTATTTGGATGAAACGATACACCGATGTTTTCACTCGTCCTTCACACTCCTGAAAATATCTGCCATACTTGTAAAATGTTTGTTGTATTCAATAAGAAACCATAAACTGTCTTTTATATAAAACCTATGTTTTCAATACATAAGTGTAACTTGGTGTGCTACTGTTGTTTCAGGTATCCGTCTATCTACTCGGTCATCCACAGAGAAGCAGACAACGATGAGGGGGCCAGCTCCATTTCATGTGAGTTACATTACATGATCAGTTTGTACAGCATATTATTAGTACGTGTTTCCTAACCAGTAACATTGTTATAATTTACATAACATTTGGTTACACAGGAAACATTGCGATTTAAATTGTGAAGTTGATAATGAAGTTTTTAATGCGCAGATTGCATATATCATAAAAAATAGCAATTACTAACGAAATGTTGGCTTGTCCATTGAGTAATAACTTCACCCTGGCTTGTCTATAATATCATGTACACTTTGCTCATTATTCACTTGACCTACCTTACAGGTGGAAGCCAGGAGATTGACAGTTGATCCGAAAAGGGCCCTTCTTTACGGAAGGATGAGGACGAACCAAAGTCAGTTTACATTTCTGTATCATCTGTATAACCATACAAACACACAGTTCTCTTCAAATCATTCTCGGATAATATTTACATTTTTCTTCCAGTATGATATTTGAGATAATCATATCTTCCCCAATGTAATGAAGTATTTAAATAATTATAAACATCTCTGAAAATGCGGTTAAAGTTTGATAAATGTAATACTTATTCTAAACTCCTTCACTGTTATAGTTTGTATCAGCCCAATTCAAAGCTCATGGCTACAGCATCTCGCGTCGTGTCGCCATGCCTCTTCTTCTTACTGGCGTTTTATGATAAACAGTATATCTATCTAGTGAAAATCAATGACTGTGTTTATACAACTTATAGTTTATGATAAACAATATGACTAACTCGAGTTTTATGTAAACTAGTGAGAATCGATTACGTATCACATGCACATTTGTAGTTAGATATCAAATCAAATTTTAGGAAGACTTGATTAACTTGAAAAAGATGATTTTGCATTATCACTAATTACATATCCCTTAATATATTTAATCAGATACCCCTCTCAACCCTAATAAGATATCCTCTTTATATACTAAATCAGATATCCCCTCTCAACCCTATTAAGATATCCTCCCTATATACTAAATCAGATATCCCCTCACAACCCTAATAAGATATCCTCTTTATATACTAAATCAGATATCCCCTCTCAAACCTATTAAGATATCCTCCCTATACCAAATCAGATATCCCCTCTCAACCCTAACAAGATATCCTATCTATATACTAAATCCAATACCCCCTCTATACCCTTATCAGATATCCTCAATACATACAAAATCAGATATCCCCTCTCAACCCTAATAAGATATCCTATTTATATACTATGATCAGATAACCCCTCTTCACCCTTATCAGATATTTTCTGTATATACTATAATCAGATATCCCCTCTTTACCCTTATCATATATTCTCTCAATATACTATAATATGATATCCCCCTGTATCCTTATCATATATCCTCTCTTTATACTAAATCCGATACCCCTCTATACCCTTATCAGATATTCTCTCTATATACTATAATCAGATACCCCCTCTATACCCTTATCAGATATTCTCTCTATATACTATAATCAGATACCCCCTCTATACCCTTATCAGATATTCTCTGTATATACCATACTCAGATATCCCCTCTTTACCCTTATCATATATTCTCTCTTTTTACTGTATCAGATACCCCCTCTATACCCTTATCAGATATTCTCTCAATATACTATAATCAGATACCCTCTATACTCTTGTCAGATATCCTCTAATATACTATATCTGATACCCCCTCTATACCCCTATCATATATTCTCTCTATATACTATAATATGATATCCCCCTGTATCCTTATCATATATCCTCTCTTTATACTTAATCCGATAACCCCTCTGTACCCTTATCAGATATTCTCTCTATATACTATAATCAGATATCCCCCTTTACCATTATCAGATATTCTCTCTATATACTAAATCAGATACCCCCTCTATACCCTTATCATATATCCTCTCTGTATACTTTGATCAGATATCCTCCTATACCCTTATCAGATATTCTTTCTATATTCTAAAATCAGCTACCCCCTCTTAACCCTTATCAGTCGGCATCAGTTCCACGCTATCACAAGGAGACAAACACCAGCATATCGCAGCCTCCTAAAACACACGCGTTCACTACAGACATGCATCTTGCACACAGGGGAGGCCGTCCTCAAACCTTATCAGATATCCTTTGTTTATACTATAATCCAATATCCCCCTATACCCTTATCAGAAATTCTCTCTTTATACTATAATCAGATATCCCCTCTTCATCCTTATTAGATATCCCCTCTATATACTATAATCAGATATCCCCTCTACATCCTTATTAGATATCCTCTCTATAAACAATAATCAGATACCCTCTATACTCTTATCAGATATTCTCTAATATACTATATTCAGATACCTCACTATTCCCTTATCATATATCCTCTCTATATCTTATAATCAGATATCCTGTATACCCTAATCAAATATTATCTCTATATAATATTATCAGATACTCTCTCTAAACCCGTATCATATATTCTCTCTATAAACGATAATCAGATACCCCACTTTACCCTTATCAGATATCCTCTCTATACACTATAATCAGATACTCTCTCTAATTCCTTATCAGATATCTTCTCTATATACTATATTCAGATTCCCTGTATAAGATATCCTGTCTGTAACCTGTAATATGAAATCCCCTCAAAACTCTAAGTATTCCACTTGTATAGTTACATTGTTTTCAAATGTCTCCTCAATAAAATATGTTTAGATATCCTTTCATCCACTATATACACTGTATGTCTATATATGTATTTAAATATATTCACTTTATCAAGACATTCTTTTGATTTACTGCATTCAGTTTTTCTCTATGTATACTTTTTTTGGATACCCTCTCTATAAAACGTATTTTGAATCGTTTTCCCGGCATGCTTAATATCACGGTAACTATTAATACAGATATTCATTTAACTGCGAATATGCATCATAAATATAAAACCCCACTATAATACTGAGTTAGACTTGTGAATACAATGTACGGCTACGTCACGGTGCTGATTGTCTGTATAAGAAATTAAGAGCAAACAGTTTAAAATAATGGACACTCATGAACACACCTTTCTATGATATTGTATCTCCATTCTGAAAAATATTGTACACTTTTTTATATTCTGTAGAAATCTTCGAGGGGCTGAACTTTATACCATAACAATTAAGAGCGCTTTGTACGTTGTATAATTTAATCTGTATTGCTCATAAGTCAATTCGTCACATTGTAGGTGAGTTGACGATCGGGATTCCAACGGTCCAGCGACGCGGCGTTGACTACCTTGAGAAAACGCTTTACTCATTGATAATTAATTCAAAAGCTTCCCAGCGAAGTTCTATAGTTGTCGTCATCTTTATGGTGGACAGGAACGAGACCTGGACCACAATTAGAAGCAAACAACTGGCTGGAAAATATCCCAGACTCATAAAGAACGGATTCCTCCAGATTGTACATCCACACGATCAAAGTATATATCCAGATTTCACCAAGCTTAAGAGGACATTTAACGACACTGCAGCAAGAGTGACCTGGCGTTCGAAACAGAATATCGATTATGCTTATCTGTTCTCGTATTGTAAAGGTATATCACGGTATTATCTTCAACTGGAGGATGACGTCATTGCAGCTAGCAATTATTACGACGATATTATAAATTTCATAGAATCAAAATCGACCACTTTTTGGTACTGTCTCGAATTTTCCTTTTTAGGATTTATTGGAAAGTTGTTACGATCGTCCGATCTTCAAGAATTGTCGGAATATATATTGATGTTCTTCGATGAACAGCCTGGTGACCTTTTGCTTAAGGCGTTGAAAACCATCAAAACCCAATGGAAAGATATTCAAATTAAGAGATCATTATTCCAGCACAAAGGAGTCGTGTCATCGTTAACAGACAAGGAACAACACTTATATGACGGGCATTTTAAAGACCGCTTTGGATTAAATCAATACTCTCGAAAGCGGTTTTATCATGTGAATCCCTCCGCAATGATTGATTCAAAAATCGACACTTATTCTGATTATGAACCCATGCATGCATATGACCTATCTGACAAATATTTTTGGGGGGTCAACCCTAAACAAGGTGATTACTTTAGGATAACTTTCGAAGGTCCTCAGAACATAAGCCGTTTATTCATAGATTCTGGCGAAGTGACAAAGACCTCCGACATGTTACAACACGCAAGGTTGCTTGTATCTACCGCCATCGAGATAGACAAACCTTGTCAGAATCTCGTCAATATCATTAACTTTGTTGACGGTGATGTTGACACCAGAAAGTCCAACATTTCACTTCCTCGAAATATAGACTGCATAGTGATTGAAATAACAGCCAATCAAACTGATTGGGTCATTATAAGAGAAATCGCTGTATTTCTTCCGGGCGAACAAGAAATCGAGGAACAAAGCAAAAAAGAAAAGGTCCCGCAACCACAAGGAGAAAGTGAAATGTTGAAATGGCAGACTTGGAAGAGACACGAACCGTTCAAACCACCATTCCTTTCGCCGCGATTCGAAAACGGTGCATTAATTCTGCCTGGCCAAAAATTGAATGGAAATTGGCAGGACCAAAAATTGCGTAACGACAAGCGCCTAATAAGTCCAAATCAAAATCAGCAGCAAGCAAAGGACCGGCGAGAACCAAACGAACCGCCAGATACACGAAAACGTAATCAGCAAAGAAATACCGTAATTATCGATAAACCGAAACAAATACAGAACATCCTTGACAGAAAGCAGAAGCATAGACAGTCGGAAGGTGTAATTCTCAGTAAGAATGATCAGCATCTGTTAGAACTTTGGCAGCATCAAGTTAACATGAATAAGCTGATGATGAAAATGAGTGGCATAGAACATAATGTCCCCATATTCAACAAACCTCCCCCACATATAGAGAATAAGCGATACGAAATGGATGGTTTACCACAAAACAATGTCCCATTACATAACAGACCTCCCCCACATACAGAAAATCAGCAATTCGAAATGGATGGCAAAGCACAAAACAATGTCCCATTACATAACAGACCTCCCCCACATATAGAAAATAAGCAATTCGAAATGGATGGCTTACCACAAGACAATGTCCCCCATCCAAACAAAGCTGGCACACACGTAAGAAATCTGAAGCGACGTATATTCCGTCAACCTAAACAACAAATAAAAGGGTAATCTACAAAAACAGCCGTAAGGAGTCGGAGAGGATCAAAACCCAGACAAACTGGAAAAATTAGAAACCTTCAAAAGAACATGGATGGGTACTTTAAATTTCTCTCGAACAACTATAGGAAATAAAGATCTAAGAAATAACACAACTTAATGTTTGTAATCAATTTTATATACTTGAGGAAAGTGGAATAGGAAATGGTACAGACATAAAAAGGTCTGTCTACTTGAAAATGGAGTAACGATAATCGGTGTATCCACAATCGGTTGGATCAAAATAAAACCCATTACATATACATGTGCCTTTGAAAACCTAAAGTATTCATTTGAAAGTGTGGCACTTTGGTTTTACATAATGTGATATAGAAATATAATTTGGATGATCATATTAATATCCAGTTTTTGTAAGAGTCCATAAATTATACCAAACTAGATGTAGCAGTTGATCAATTCATGACTATGTTAACTCACGCGGGCAAAATACGAGCGCAACGTCGAAACGACAACGGCGGGAACAGGGAAGACACTAAAACGACACATAATAGACCGGTCCCATCAGTTACTACGTAAGAGAAATCTGTTTTCTGCACCATATCCACACTTGGCATGATCTGTGCAATCAATCACCTGTGTGTCACCAGTTCCGTGATCTAGTTTGTAATCATGTTTACAGAACAAATAATATATGACATATTGTCTGAATATTTATCTATTTGAACAAGATATTTTACACACGCTAACCTAGCTCGTAATCATGTTTACAGAAAAACACAATCAAATGCTAACCGTTTGTCCTAATACCGCAACAGCGATCTTACACAAAAATGAACAGTTTATAAACATACGAGTAGAAAAAATCACAACGTGTCCGATTTTTCCGAATATCACTACAGAAAGTGAGTTAGTTGTGATTTACCTTACTATCAAACATGCGGTATTTAATGATCACCGCATTGCTTAAAAGTACAAAATAGTTACATTGTATAATAACGCGCAATTAATTGAATTGCATGATAATACATCTTGTTCCTTATTATACATCCACAACGATGATGGGGGATATACTGAATTCATCTTGTTTATCTATCTGTCCTTCTGTCTGTCCGCAGATAGAAACTTGTCCCCCTTAACTACTAAGCCGCGCTCAATACAACATTATATATATGATCGGTACAACATGTAACGGTGCACCTGATTAAGATTGTTCAGTCTCCTACGATGAGTTGCCCGTTTTAGTCATATCAAGACTTGTCGGGACATTTTCTCCATATCTATCTGGTCGACTACTATGAAACGTTTTTAGAGTGATATGTAGGGTTAATTCATCCTTTAAACAGTCCCCTTGAACATCTCATCAAGATATCTGCTATAGCCTCTGATTGGTTATAAGACGATTGCGGTTGCAATTTGTGTTATGGCCTCTGATTGGTTATAAGACGATCGCGGTTGTAATTTGTGTTATGGCCTCTGATAGGTTATAAGACGATCGCGGTTGTAATTTGTGTTATGGCCTCTGATAGGTTATAAGACGATCGCGGTTGTAATTTGTGTTATGGCCTCTGATAGGTTATAAGACGATCGCGGTTGTAATTTGTGGTCTATTTAGCCGATTTTCGTCATAATTCATGGAAGTGATACATAAATTATTTATAGTTTATGATGGACAACTGACTTTCAAGTTTTAGGGTTCACGATCACTGTCTTGGCCTTTATTTAGATTATGCAGCCGTGTGGTCGCACAACGCACCTAAATTACCGTGCGCACATCGTGCATATAGTGCGAAAAACCGGGCTATTCAACAATCGACCGCCCTGATGTACAATATTTTATTTTAAATGCCTTACGCCGAAGACAATAATATTAAAAATAAATAAAGAAGTGTATTGGCAATCTGGAAAAAATGATTTGATTTAATCTATCGCTGGCAGATCTTTTTTAATTTGACATAGACTATTTGCAAGGCTGTATTGACTTTGACAACGTTTTGATAACAGCAAATGTTCATAGTTTTACTGTGGTAATCATCCAGAAAAGGATCGTATAGTCGTAATGTAGCAGAGTCATATTTTATTGTATTTTATATTGATATTATGACGTACATGTCCTGTGTTGTGATCTTTACCTGTGATGTATACCTGTCTGTACCTGTATAATATCCCATAGAGTGGTTCTGTAAGGTCCAGTGTGTTATAGTTTATATTCTTTTTTTCAAAGGTCAGATATTTTATATAGACTTCGGTTTTTATTGGTCAGTTATATGTTTGTCACTTTTTGCGGGATTTCTTTGTGTCGGTTTTGTGAAAGATTTTGTGAAAGAGCTGACATTTTGATTTGGACACAGACACATACATCTTTTGACAATCGAAATATTCAGTACAAAGTGATAAGCGGTTTGATGACATCGGTTTCCCAATTCCTGGCTCTGTGCCATACACAGAGTATGTATCTAACATTACACATATAGGATGTTGAACCATGTTATGTCTGTGCTGTGGAAATGAAATAAATATGAATCTTAAAGAACTCTTGGTTATTTGTAAAACCACCTCGCTACAGTATAAAAAATGAAGTTCCCCATAGTAGGGATGATTTATAGGTGTCTGCGCTCGCACATGCACATTACTCACACATTACACACACATTACTCACACACTACTCACACACTAATAATAATAAATAATAATTTACAACATTTATATAGCGCCCTATATGATTTGTAAAATTACTCTAAAGCGCTTTACAACATATGGATAATAGTAATGGTTATATTTGTGAAAACAAAAAACAAAGGCTTACAATCACTTTTATACAAGCAAGCAAGCAAGCAATGTGCAAATAATTGAACAAATAAAAGGGTGGTATTTACATGACGTCTTTGCAAGGTTTCTAAAATGCAGACATGAATAGGTGAGTTTTGATGTCCCTCTTGAACTTGTCCAGGGTATTTGACTTTCTAATAGCAGATGGTAAGCTATTCGACAACGTAGCCGAAACCCTCCCGAAACATGTTTCCGTAGGTCCCAGTACAAGAATTTGGGATACACAACAAAGATTCTGACACCGACCGCAGTGATCGTGACACTACTCGCACACTACTCACACCTTACTCACACACTACTCACACCTTACTCACATACTACTCACACATTACTCCCACCTTACTCCCATCTTGATCACCTATTATTCCCACCTTGCTCCCACCTTACTCACACCAGTATAAACTATATAAGTCAGAGATATGATCAGGGACATGTCACTGTCTCACATGGCTCAAGCTCTCAGCGACGTCGTCAAGAACGCTGATATTTCAACTTAACGTTTCTTCTTACCAAGTGGATTGTTATTTAGGACTTCATAAAGAAATCACTTTTAAACAGTTGAAAAACAAGGTAAGCGTTTATTTAAAATAAGAAGGAAAGACAATAACTTTATCACTAGAACTTTTAAAAAGAATATTGTCAGTGTCGGAGAGTTTGCAATTAATCTGTGCAATTGTGGAAAGTTAATACCCATGGACAACGTCACAGACAGCGTTCCACATACTATAAACACTACTGTAATAAAACAACATGTCAGCAAAGAAAATCAGGCAGATATGTTTGAATATCTGTACTTAGGAAAGAAACCGATGAAACATCAATCAAAGAAACCAGCTAAGCTCCCCATCAAATACGGGATCAAGTATAGATTCAAAATAGGAAGTCTCGTTCGAATATCTCACGCAAAACAACTATTCAAGCGAGCCTATCAACAACAGTGGTTATCATAAATAATTAAGGTACACAGACGATATCTATTACAAGGTATTTCTCAATATCAGTTGATTGATTTTCTAAACGAAGTTATCAAAGGTAACTTTTCTGAATAAGAATTACAGAGAGTTGATAAGAACATGGACTCACTAGTTTACATAGAGAAGAAAATCAAGACGCGCAAGATAAGTTGCTAGTAAAATGGTTGGGTTGGCCTGCCAAATATAGTTCATATGTCGATGCAGATGCCGTTATTGATACTGTAGACATTGATCATGACACACTACGTCACAATCAACAGTAATAAGAACAAGGAATATTTTCCAGATAATGAGCCACATCTTTTTCGCACTCATTTACAATCTCTCCTGCATCTACCCGGACTCTGGCAGGCAGGGTTGGCAGACATTTACTTAGTTGGAACTGGTAAGTCAAAGGAAAACTTATACGTACATTGCGACGTAAGTGTTGGATCTATCGTCGACGGTGAAAAGGAAAAGCAAGATAACTGGACTCAATCTTTCACAATCTTTCAATATGAACCTGTAAATAAATCAGACATTGAAATATATATAACAAATGAGAAAGGCGAAATTCCTTCATTTCTGAAACAATCGGTGACGATAACACTACATTTCAAATCATATCCGTTTTACTCATGAATGTTTCAAACATGTACATGTACGTTGCCAATGTGGAAAAATGGATGAAGTATTACAAGAACGTCACTAGTGCCAAAATTAATCAATATATCGATGTCAATCGAGAAGTGAAACAGCATGGGGTGGTATATATACCAACACTAAGAAGTTCATGATTCCTATTGATAATGTTGAAAGTCAGAAAACTACAGCATTACACAACCTTGATGTAAATCTACTTCAAGCCAAATCCGAGATAAAAGAAAGCAGAATACACCCTACCATCAGTCGAACAAGAAACGTCGAACTGTAAACATCACACGACAAGCTAAGTCCAAGAAGAAAATTGTGATAAAAGAAATCTGCCACAAAAAAGAAACCAGTGACCAAAAGGAAACCTGCGATAAAAAAGAAACCTATAACAAAAAAACAACAACAAAAAACGACGACGCATTAAGGTAATAATAAGAAATCTCTACCATCCTGGCTGCAGTAAACAGTGATTTTTTCACAGAAGATCAACCCTCACAACTCGCCATTTTTGAATTTTCTCCAACACAGACAGCTGTAGAGAATATATATTATCAAGACGTTCTTCCCATCGCAAGTCGTCGGCGAAGCCCCCATCGAGTTCGTCATTTCCGGTTAGAATGGTATAGAATACATCGATCTGAAAATCACAATGATATCGGTGAAAGCTAAAACAAAAAAGGGCGATGGAACCAACATTGCTGTGAATGAGAACTTTGGACCTGTAAATGTTCCTACCTGCCATGTTTTCACAAGTGGATGTGGCGTTACAGGGAAAGCCTGTGGTGTCTACAACGAACCATTACGCATATAAAGCTTACATTCAATCGTTGTTAAACTTTCGTTATGACGCCAAACGTCTTAACCTGCCACGCAATTATGGTACGAAGATACTGAAAGGGAAATGGATGATGTAGGTGTGAGGACAGGATCTAATTTGAATCTTCTGTCTAGAGCAAATATGTTTGAGGGTAGTATAACCTGTGACATGCAAGGTCCTCTGTATCACGATTTATTCAAAATAGATAGATATTTACTTAATCAAGTACATGTTAATGTACAAATGTACGGATCTAAACCAGGGTTCTGCCTTGTGACAGATGCAGCTAACGCTAGCTATAAAATTGAGTTGGAGAGCATATGTTTACGTGTGGATAAAGTCAAAGTGAACCCTGTCGTTATATATGCACAGAGTCAAGCTCTAAATACGAATAATGCAAAGTACCCCTTCACACAATCTGTCATTAAACAGATGACTATACCAACGGGTTCGTCCAGTTACACATATGACAATATGTTTCAAGGAATGAGACCAAACTTCATCACTGTAGTATTTGTATAGTCTACAGCTGCTACGGGAGATTATGGTCAAAATCCATGGTACTTTAAACATTATAATATTACACCTGTTGGTTTATTTGGGGATGGTATTCCCCTTTAAAACTAAATTATTCCTCGACAGGCGGTCAGACTACCATTCCCGTTCTAACAGATATGTTTAAAACCAGTGGTAAATGATTGAATGATTGTGGATTGAATATTGATAGAGATGATATAGCCAGCGGTTATGCACTGTACACATTCAATTTGAACCCATATTTCAAGACAGTCAATACCTTACCCTATTAAAGCAGGGTAACGTAAGACTAGAAGCCACATTCGGAACTGCTCTCACAGAAACAATCACTTGTATCATCTATGCTGAATATCTAGGATATTTTAAATCAACGCTTTTAGAGACATTATTGCACAGTCATGAACACACATCAACTTCGATGCGCTATCGAATGTGATCCTGTGATGAGAAAAATGATTCTAGGTGTCAACGTGAGCGATCAGATACCACGAAATATACATACGTGGCCCAACAGTGTTATTGTAAATACAGATAATAGCAACCTACCTTGAAAGCATTGGCTAGCTGTATACATGGAATCAAAGAATAAAGGAGAATTCTTTGACAGTTATGGACACTCGTCAGAATATTTCGACTTTAATTTCCCCAATTTTATATATAACCATAAGCGCATTCAGAGCACAACCTCGAATGTGTGTGGACCATATTTTTTTCCCCCCTGCTTAATCAATGTAGAGGGATGACTATGAAATCTATATTACATATATTTGATAGTGATTATGTTAAAAATGAAAGGATTGTATATAATTACATGGAAACTCTTTTCCCCTTTGTATTCACTATAATGATATCAAACAGAAATGTTCCGAAATAAAATAATGGAATATATATTGTGCTATTTTGTGTATGTCTGTTCATTCTACATTGAGTCATGGAAGATAAATGGTGGGCAGAAGAAAGTTTGATCAAATTTCAAACTCCCACAACAATTAGGATATGTTGACCAACAGGATCTGGTTCAACAAATCTAACAAAACAGATATTAGATATGTAGATAGAATGTTTGAACAGCCTCCAACAAAAATCATTATTTTGTCGAAATTAAGCAAAAGTTGGAAGAAGTAACTTTCCATCAGGGACTGTCTGATGAAGAACAGTTTAAAGAATAGACGCAGATTAGCGGGCATAAGTTACTAGTTATCGATGACTGCATGGCCGATAGAGTAAATAGCCAGCATCGAATGAAGATGTTCTGCGTTATTTCATATCACCAAAACATTACTGTTACGCCTATCGTAAAGCAACCTCTAAACGTTACGGTGTTTTATTGATAGATATAAATCCACATGGAACACAACTCAATGTTAAAGAAGATTCGATTGAAATTACACCATTATGCACTCGAATATTGCCAGGAGAAGACGCCATTGTTTACGATCCGAGAAAATGAAAGAATTTGCTGAATTGTTTAATACTGCTTCAAAGCAACAACAAAAAATTATATTGGAGTCATTGGCTTATAAGCAGCTAAAGTTTTTAATCGAAATAATCTATAATGCTGTCATGGATAATATACCAATTAGTAAAAGCGATAAAAATAAATTGATCAGACATAAATTGGCTATTCGTAAAGTTTAAGTCGAAGCAGAGACAGAAGAGATTATTGTCACTCAAAGGAAGCTTGTTAACTTTATTTGTTAAAGCATATTTAGAATGGAAAACTAATTAG